TTTCCCGGCCAACTGCATTAAAAAAAAAACAATCAAATGTCAATTTGTGATTGAATATACATATCTAATATACATTTAATGGTAATTATTTATCCAGCCTTAATTAACATTTATATTCATACACTGTCACTATGAACCTACCTCCCAATAATTATGACTAAATTGTCAATACAATTTTGCATTAATCTCTCATATTAATAATGCTGCTGTAATATGCCATAACTTAAAATACAGGCAGACCCTGCTTATACAGCAAGTTAGGTTCCAGGCTACTGCTGTAAAGCAAAAATTGCTGTAAAGTGAAACATAGCCTGTTTTTTCACTTTCAAATACATATAATAGCCTGATACCATGTTTACACTATCATATATTGAGTGCACAATAGAGCTAGGCCTAAAAAAATGCATGCACAACACACACATTATCTTAAAATATTCTTGACCTCGGCTTATAGTGAGTGAATATATTTATTGTAGGAAGTGTAAATAAATGAAGAATAGGTATAACTGAAAACTTCTGCATTAGCCAAACACCATAAAGCAAAGCACTGTAAAGCAGGGCCTGCTTGTATTCACTGCATTTAATAATTTCAACTTCAATCTCAATTACATAGTAATAAATTTAGAATTCAAATAATCTGACTATAACTATACAATGTCAAGGGGTTTTAAGATCATGTTGTAGTGTGTTCAAATTGCTCTTCATATCCAATTTTTTTTCATATAGTATTGAATGTAACCTAATTTTGTAGCAACTGTATATGTTTGGCAGTAAAATATTTTTATACGTAATTAGAAATATAAAGCACTATACCGGCATAAACTGAAGAACCAAGACACATTCAAAATGCACTCAGTCTGAACTGAAGGCTTGCCATTTTTAATGCATAAGCCACCTAAGCTTGGGCCTAAGGTCTTAGCCGTACAGAGCCCCTACCAGTCTTCGAAGCAAAAATAAATAGCTTTTATAAAACATTTGTGGTATGTACAATATCAAATTATTAGTACAATCATTTCATTCCTTGCGAACTTTTATGGTTTCGCAACTTATTGGGGCCTCACCTCAAACACTGCCCTGGCCAAGGACCCCACAAAACCTTAATCCAGTCCAGATTGTATATGATGTCAAGTAGTAAGGCTTTGAAGAAATGCTACCAAGAATATGATAAATACTTTTATTTGAAGGAGAAAACTGCATGTAAAATAATTATTCATTTACATATACTGTACATATATCCTTGCACTTTATCAAGGAGTTCTGTAACCTAAAAAAAAGAAAGATCAATCAGTATCAATCATCATTCATTTCTTGCATCCTCACTAGTATTAACTTAAAAACAATAAAGTTATAAAGCTTTTTCAAGTAATAAATATTTTTCATAAGTTTAACTATATTCAAAGTGCAAGGCTGACTTCAAGAAAGTTGAGCCCATCTTAAAATTAAGCAACAATAAAAACTAAATATACAGTTTACTTACAAGATAAATAACTGATATTTATAACTTCATATATTTTAAATTAACTTACCTGCAATGAAAGCTACAAAATATTCTAGCTTAAAAATACAAGTATGGTATTATCAACCATTACTTGTGAAGTTGGATCACTAGAATAGTCAGCCATACAGAAAACTTAAAAAGTAAACTTACACTGTAGTGGTAACTTCATGGATGTACAGTTGAACAACTAAACTTCCACTTTAGTATACAGTAATGTATACTAAATAGGTTTGAGTTCAATACATTTAAAGTATGACTTTCAGTAAACAACACTGCCATCTACAATCTCCTTGAGTATGTAGTCAGCAGGACGGATCTAGGAACAGGACTTCAGGAAGCAGGTGTGCATAATATAGTACATATAAGGAGATAGAATTTGTTAGCTTCAATGGTTTATCAGACTTAAGATACCAAAAGTAGCATTCTTATGGCTTTTGGATTTAATGCTATTCTGTAATAAAGTATATATTAGTACTGTACCTATCCTTTGTTTGAAGTACATAATTCAAACTAATATTTTTCTCAAATTTTTGGTGTATGTTGCTTATAAAATTGTTACGTCATACTGTATTTATAAAAAAAAAAAAAAAAAAAAAAAAATATACAGTGTATGGTAATATGTTTCCAATAATAATGTATGTCTGTTTAGATGTTTCATAGTTTTCACAAGTGAGTTTTTTCTTTGATGCTCAAACTGATTTACTAACAGCTGCTTTAATTAAAACAAACATTTTTAAACAAAATATTTTACCAAGAAAAACAATTTTAATTAAGAAAAACAATAATTTTAATTGTTTTGTCCATTAAATGGGTGAATTATGGTACAGTAATTCATATATTGAATATACAGTATATATGCCAAAAGGTAGTTACTGTACTGTATATTCCTTAATATAAATATACTTATCTAAGCTTATGTTTTCCACACACCAAGTATTTATTTACAAAATGAAGCTATGAATTTTTTTTTTGCTACTTTTTAAAATATTGTTACAGTATTTCATTAATTTTTCATGTTTGTTGTGGAATATTCATTAAAATAAACTCAATTTGATATCCAACGTTTCTTTTGTTTCTATATTATTACTAGTACTGTACTACAGCCTGCAATAATGATGCATGGAAAATTTTATAAAAAACAATCAAATTCAGCAATTAAATATGAATGAGGTGAGAATCCTCCATATGTCTGTTTGGTAACTGCCAAATGGATATATCATTTTCAAAAATTTAACTGCTTCACTGCTTACAGGGTTTACTAAAGTGGGCTAGCTAGCACTACAACTACTGAGAGGTAGATGTCCATGCAAGTGAATGGAGGCAGGGCTAAGATGATTCAAAAAGAGTACGACTTGGGTCTAGGTGTTGGAATGTGGGCACTAATCTGATGTAACTGGGTGAATAAGCATATTTGCTGATTAATAGAATTGTTAAAGTGGAGGAAGGGTTTAAACTGCTGACAAATAAGTTAGGTTCATGAGAAAAATGACTAACTACTAATACATACAGGGACGGGCTGTCAGTAGTCTCCATACTGGGCTGTACAACAGCAAGGCAAATTTTAATTTGGACCAGTATTATCACCCTTTACTTACCAGTATGCAAGTTTTGCAATTTTGTGTATAACAGCAATAAACTTTGATGATTATTGTAGAAAATTTTTAGATTGGAAAAAAAAAAGAAAAAAAGGTTGTTCCATATTGTAAGACTCTGGAAAGAATGATGGGTGATCATCCAGGTGCCTGTGAAAATTGTCCTCCCCCCAAAAGGGCCACTGTGTGTTTCAGTACGAGGTCTCAAGGTACGAGGGGGCTGTACACCAGTGTACGAATCAACTGGTGCAAGTATTTTGTCTAGATATCACAAACAGCACAGATTAACTTCTTAATGAGTCACTCATTTAATAATCTGACTTATTACTAAAGTAAATACTGTACAGGTATTTCCTAATTCAAATTATATATACTGTAGCATAAATAGCACCATCTACTTAATGCCTAATATAACAATTTTTCCAAAGTTCAAGTGTTTTTTCAACTTTTTAGCTTGCAGTCAGAAAACTTTTGAACAAGCCATTCCACAATATTCATTGATGCTTCTTTCCAAGCTACATTTATCTTGATTGTGGTACAGTATATATATACATCAGGTTCTCTTTCAACTTACAATACCAGGAAATGTATTTACCATGGTTTCCAGGATCACAGAATAGAGTAATCAATCCTAGCCACTTAACGAACACACTGCTACATCTTTTGCACAACCATGAAGTGTACTTGTAGCATACTGAAGTCTATGCTACTAAAGAACACACTGTCTTGCTAACCAATAAACATAACACTTATTTGAGCATGTAGCTTCCAGATGCATGACAGATGTTTATCAAATAACATCTGGAAAAGCAGCAGAAGTATTTCCTCTTGGAGGGAGGTCAGGGGACCAGAATGGCCATCACAACCATGAATGAATAAGACACATCAGAATCAAAATGGCTACCACCTTTTGATGGTGGATTTGTAGGTGGTATTTTAGTAAGGATGAGGTGAACATGATAGGTGATGCTGCTGAGCATGATGGGTGGGGCTGATGTTGCCCAAGGCTATGGGGGTCAGAAGCGAAACTCTCTGAAATCTGGGTGACTATTTGATGTACGTGTGGAGTGGCGAAAAGGCGGGGCAGCCATTGCTGAACCAGATGAGGCATTTGTGGAACGGTTACGTCTACTGGAGAAACGACCAGGTCTTTTGGGTACTCGTGGAAGGGACCAGGGTTTACTCTTATGCATCCAAGAGTGAGAGGACATTTCTTTTTGAACAGCTCCCCGAGTACCTGTGTGGTGATCTCCATCCATTATTGACCTGGAAGACAGTGCAAATGAAGTTTGAGGAATATCGAGTGTGTTTCGGGTTGATGGTGGTTGTGAAGGGGCAATGCTCACATGTGGACCACCTAATCTTTTGCAGTTTAGATGATCAAGAAGGTGCGAGCTGGGCAAAACAGGGCCTGAGACTGTGTGTGCAGGGCGAATGTATGGGCTGGGTAGAGGCAGACGTTGCAGACCAGTGTAAGCTGTAGCTGCCACAGCTAAGAAAGAATCAGACTGTGGTTGGCATTTAGGAGATGATTCTGCTGTTTTGGGAAGGGTATGACACGGTGAAGGTTGATGGCTTCCCTCACATGCACAGGTCCTTCCAGCACGACAGCCACGTACCCGCAGCGTCATCTCAACCCCAGTAAGGCACGGACACGGGCACCCTTGGGCACCCGGGGCCATCTGCAACAAATAGTAATAACTAATTTACGAAATCGTAATGACACGATTGCAAACAAACCAAACCACAACGTTGAACCCGTGGGGGGAAACGAAATGATCTAGAGTTTTGAGACACACTGTCACGGGTTTCAACCCCGCCCTGGTAATTTTTTTTTAATAGAATAAATATTCCATCTGCACAATTAAATTTGGGCAAAGAAAATAATGGATCCTGCAAATTTTAAAATCCCACAAAGTCTTTAAAAATTTAATAACAATAAAAAAAACTCCCAGGGAAAAATTTTTTTTTTTTATAATTAAGTCAGTCATTAAAACTTTACCACAATAAAGAAAAAAACATGGGGATTTTTTTATAACCCTTTTTGGTGCAATAAATTGTCTAGAAGTACAGGAAAGAAATCTTTGGAATGAAAAAGAAGCTGCAGATTTACTGTATATAGTTAATAGAGGCAGAAGATTTAACCCATTTTTTCTTTAAGTAGGAGGGTCTACTTATTCTTGAGTAACATATTCGATAAGTTGAAATATTTAAAGTGTAATCACTGCGCTTCACTGTAGTAGGTCTTACTGGCTACTCATCTACAACTCAAATGCTAAGAAAACACACGCACTGCAGAATAAGCTTTTACCAGAAAGTTTTACTCTGTGTAGAGATTTATCAAATTATACAGAAGATACTCCTTGAAAAAGAAAAGGGGAGGCAAGTCAAATCACTGATGTGTGATGATCAGTGTATGTAGATCTATGAAGAATGTGCACTGGTCAATTATACTGTAATGTCGCCAAGCTTCAGGCTAGCATGTTTGCACGATTCTTCAACAATTCTTTATCTAGGCTAAATGCACCTTGGTTCTATTTCACGATGTTTGTCGATTAATGAAAATTGCCTCTAGACATCACATTACAATCCTATCCTTTCGATGACAAGTTTGAAGTACAGTATTGCCATACCTGAAGGATACCTGGAGGGTGTTCCGAGGGTCAACACTCCCACGGCTCGGTCCCTGACCAGGCCTCGTGGTGGATCAGAGTTTAATGAGCCAAGTCGTTACTGCCGGCCACACGCAAACCGACTTGTCATAAGTGAATGTCTGCTATGAACTATGAATGTACTTTTGGTATACCTGGAGAGGGTTTCGGAGGTCAATGCCCTCATAGCCTGGTCTGTGATCAGGCATCATGGTAGATCAGGGCCTGATCAACCAGGCTGTTACTGTTGGCTGCATGTAAACTGACATATAAACCACAACCTGACTGGTCAGGCGCCTTTAGGTACCTGTCCATTATTATAATTATTATAATAATGGAGGAGCGCTAAACCTGTAGGATTATACAGCGCATCGGGGAGGGGATGGAAGGTATTCAGGCTCAATTCAGGGAACCAGAGCACAGATCCAATTCCCTAGATCAAGAGCCCCTCATCAGCATCAAGGAACCTCCCTTGAGGGGAGGTACCTGTCCAGAGTCTTCTTTAGGACAGCCAAGGGTCTACTGGTAATCCCCTTTATGTATACTGGGAGGCAGTTGAACAGTCTTGGGCTTCTGACAGTATTGTCTCTTATCGTGCTAGTAGTGCCCCTGCTTTTCATGGGGGGGGGGGATTTTTGCGTCGCCTGCCGAGTCTTTTGCTTTCATAGGGAGTGATATTCGTGTGCAAATTTGGTACTAATCCCTTTAGGATTTTCCAAGTACGTATATAGTATATATATACCTGCGTTCCAGGGAATACAAATCAAGGAACTTCAACTGTTCCAAGTAATTTAGGTGTTTTATCGTACTTGTGTGTGCCATGAAGGTTCTCTGTACATTTTTCAGGTTAGCAATTTCACCTGCTTTGAAATGCACTGTTAGTATGCAGCAATATTCCAGCCTAGATATAACAAACGATCTTAAGAGTCATCATGGGCTTGGCATTCCTAGTTTTGAAGGTTCTCATTATCCATCCTGTCATTTTCCTAGTTTGTTTAGTTAGTTTAGTATGTTTATTATGCACCCCATACCCAATCCTGTGGGCAGTAGTCAAAAGATTACAGAGGTACATAATGGGTCCAGGGACTGGGCCCCAAAGTTTTGATAGCTGAGCAAGTTACAAAGGTAATGAACTCCAGGAAGATCTGGTCACAATCATGACAAGTTACAAAGGTATTTACAGATTACAGAGGTACATAATGGGTCCAGGGACTGGGCCCCCAAAGTTTTGATAGCTGAACTAGGTACAAAGGTAATGAACTCAAGTTACAAAGGTAAAGAATCCTTAAAGTTAATTTACTTACTTACGTTTATACATGGCTACAATCATGAACAAATTATAGAGTAATGAGGAATTCACACGTCCACACCCGGTCACAACTGTAAATAAGTTTATTCAGGTATATACAAATACAGTTACATAGATTATCATACATAGCAGCATAGGTGGAGAGAACCTAGGATAACCCAAAAAAGTCAGAGTGACTTATTTCCATTGGGTTATTGGGTTATTCCTCCGAGTTATTGGTGCAAATATTGATTGTTAAGGCAGACACACACACACACACACACACACACACACACACACACACACACACCACACACACACACACACAACACACCAGGAGCTAGGGCTCGACCCCTGCAACCACAAATAGGTGAGTAACACAGACACAGACAGACACAGAGACACAGACAGACACAGACAGACAGACAGACAGACACACACACACACACACACACACACACACACACACACACACACACACACACACACACACACACACACACACCTGCAACCCCTGCAACCACAAATAGGTGAGTATACACACACACACACACACACACACACACACACACACACACACACACACCCCTGCAACCACAAATAGGTGAGTACACACACACACACACACACACACACACACACACACACACACACACACACACACACACCTGCAACCACAAATAGGTGAGTGAGTACACACACACACACACACACACTTGATATATGTGAACGACATAACGGAAGGGATAGACTCAGAAGTGTCCTTGTTTGCAGATGATGTGAAGTTAATGAGAAGAATCAAATCGGATGAGGATCAGGCAGGACTACAAAGAGACCTGGACAGGCTACAAGCCTGGTCCAGCAACTGGTTCCTTAAGTTTAACCCTGCCAAATGCAAAGTCATGAAGATTGGGGAAGGGCAAAGAAGACCGCAGACACAATATAGTTTAGATGGCCAAAGACTGCAAACCTCACTCAAGGAAAAAGATCTGGGGGTGAGTATAACACCAAGCATATCTCCTGAGGCGCACATCAGTCAGATAACTGCTGCAGCATACGGGCGCCTGGCAAACCTACGGATAGCGTTCCGATACCTCAGTAAGGATTCGTTCAAGACTCTGTATACCATTTACGTCAGGCCCATACTGGAGTATGCAGCACCAGTTTGGAATCCACACCTAGTCAAGCACGTCAAGAAATTAGAGAGAGTGCAAAGGTTTGCAACAATATTAGTCCCAGAGCTACGGGGATTGTCCTACGAAGACAGGTTGAGGGAAATTGGCCTGACGACACTGGAGGACAGGAGGGTCAGGGGAGACATGATAACGACATATAAAATACTGCACGGAATAGACAAGGTGGACAAAGACGGGATGTTCCAGAGAAGGGACACAGACACAAGAGGTCACAATTGGAAGTTGAAGACTCAGATGAATCAAAGGGATGTTAGGAAGTATTTCTTCAGTCATAGAGTAGTCAGGCCGTGGAATAGCCTAGAAAATGACGCAGTGGAGGCGGGAACCATACATAGTTTTAAGGCGAGGTATGATAAAGCTCATGGGGCAGGGAGAGAGAGGACCTAGTAGCAATCAGCGAAGAGGCAGGGCCAGGAGCTATGACTCGACCCCTGCAACCACAAATAGGCGAGTACAAATAGGTGAGTACACACACACACACATACACGGAGATCGACTGGGAAAACCTGGAGCCGCATGGGGGTCCCGAAACATGGAGAGCCAGGATGTTGGGTGTGGTGCTGGAAAACCTCATGCACCAACATGTTAAGGACACTACCAGAGTGAGAGGGGAGGATGAACCAGCAAGATTGGACCTTGTGTTCACCCTGGGCAGCTCAGACATCGAGGACATCAAGTATGAGAGTCCCCTAGGAGCTAGCGACCACGTGGTTCTGTGCTTTGAATACATAGTAGAGCTGCAAGTGGAGAGAATAACAGGAGTTGAATGGGAAAAGGCTGACTATAAAAGAGGGGACTACATAGGGTTGAAGAACTTCCTGCGGGAGGTCCAGTGGGACAGAGAACTGGCAGGAAAGCCAGTAAATGAAATGATGGAATATGTAACAACAAAATGCAAGGAGGCAGTGGAAAGGTTTATTCCCAAGGGCAACAGTAACAACGGGAAGACCAGAACGAGCCCCTGGTTTACCCGACGGTGTAAGGAGGCAAAAACAAAGTGCAATAGAGAATGGAAAAAGTACAGAAGGCAGAGAACACACGAAAATAGGGACACCAGTCGCAGAGCCAGGAATGAGTATGCACAGGTAAGGAGGGAGGCCCAGCGACAGTATGAAAATGACATAGCATCGAGAATCAAGACTGACCCGAAACTGTTGTATAGCCACATCAGGAGGAAGACAACAGTCAAAGACCAGGTGATCAGATTAAGGACAGAAGGTGGAGAACTCACAAGAAATGATCAGGAGGTATGTGAGGAGCTGAACAGGAGATTTAAGGAAGTTTTTACAGTAGAGACAGGAAGGGCTGTGGGAAGACAGCACAGAAGGGAACATCAAGAGGGAATATACCAACATGTGTTGGATGACATACGAACAACTGTGGAGGAGGTGAAGAAGCTCTTAAGTGACCTTGACACCTCAAAGGCGATGGGACCAGACAACATCTCCCCATGGGTCCTTAGAGAAGGAGCAGAGATGCTGTGTGTGCCTCTAACCACAATCTTCAACACATCCCTTGAAACTGGGCAACTACCTGAGAAATGGAAG